TCACATTGCTTCAGCTCATTAACCCTTACAAGCAGATCAATGTTTCTTCTTCATACATTCATTCATGGGATGTGGGTGTCGCTGGCTAGAATAGCATTTACTACCGTTCCTAACTGGCCTACAGAAGGTAGTGCTGAAGCTGCCTTCATGAATGCTGTAGTTCATGTGGCACAGGGGATGGAAGATGCAGGATTTTGATCCAATGACACTGAAGGAATGATTCCAAGTCACGAAAGGGTGAGTCATGGTAGAAAACATGCAGGTACTGGTGATCCCATGCATCTGATGTCCTTGTCCTTTGAGGTGTTAGAGGTCATGGGTTTAGAAAGTGCTGTTGAAGGACCCCTGGTAAATTGCTGCAGCGAGTTATGTAGACGGTACACTCTGCTGTCAGTAGTGGAGTGAGTGAATATCTAAAGTGGCAGATTTTTGGGGAGATGGTGGTATGGTGGTAATACCATTGTGCTAAAAATTCATAAGAATCAGACTTGTGTTCTGGGAACTTGGGTTCAAATCCATCACTGCAGATAACGGAATTTAAATGCAAATAATAGATCCTGAATAACAGGATTCCCAGCCTCTGATCTGCTCTTGTGAACACAGGTATTTATATCGTTATTCTTTCATGTGGGCATCATGATCAAGGTCAGCAATTAATGCCCATCCCTACTCTTTTGAATTTAGTGGTTTGTGAGGTAAGTTCAGAGTCACTCACATTGCTGTGGATCTGGAGTCACGTGTAGGCTAGATCAGGTAAGAATGGCAGCTTTCCTTCTCAAAGGGACATTAGTAAACCAGGCAGCTTTATATGATTATTGACAATAGTTGTCATAGACAGCACCAAGATAGCATCATATGCCAGACTTACGAATTAATTGACAATAACTATCAACATTCTGGGGTGAAAATTTGACTAGGAATCAAACTGGACTAGCCATATAAATACTGCGCAACAAGAGCAGGACAGAAGCTAAGAATACTGAATTCACCTCCTGAGTCCTCAAAGTCTGTCCACCATCTACAAGACACAAGTCAGGAGTGTGATGGAATATTCCCCACTTGTCTGGATTAGTGCAGCTCCAACAACACTCAAGAAGACTGACACCATCACAAACATCCAATCCAACACCAATGCACAGTAGCAGTAGCGTGTACCACCTAGATATAGATATTGACCAAAAGTCCTGACAGCACCTTCCAAACTCACGATAATGACCATCAAGAAGGACAAGTACAGCACACATGGAAACATGATCACCTGTAAGTTCCCCTCCAAGCCACTTGCAGTCCAGACTTGGAAATATATTGTTGTTCCTTCGGTATTACTGGGTCAAAATCCTGGAATTACCCCCCTAACAGCATTGCGGGTGTATCTACACCAAATGGACGGCAATGATTCAAGAAGGGAAGCTCACCACCATTTTCCCAAAGGGCTATGATAGTAGGAATAGGCTGTCTTGGTGACAAAGTGAAGGTGGTCAGAAAGTCATTTCTGTGTAAAATAGGACACCAAGTTTGTATGCAGTCTGTTTCAACTCAAACAATGATCAGGGAGAGGAGTTGTGGCTATGGAAAAACATTCTTTAAATTCAATCATAGGATGTGGGTGTTGCTGGCTGGGCCAGTATTTATTGCCCATCAGAAGGTGCTGGTGAGCTGTCTTCTTGAACCACCACAGTCCACTTGCTGTAGGTAAACCCACAAAGCTAATGGTGGGGACAGAAAACAATAGTTTCAGCATTCTTAATATTTAGTTGAAGGCAATTTCTACTCATCCAATACAGAAAGCTTGACAAGCAGCACAAATTTGGGACAGTGAATGGGTCAAGAGAAGTGGTAGGGAGGTGAAGATATATTTCATCAGTATAAAGCAGCACATCATTAGTTGCGTGCAATTTTATGAAGGATCACCAAAGTGTAGGGAGCCCAATGCAAATATGGATACTGGCAACAATACAGATTGTGTGAACAGTGAAGGAGGAGAATGCTGTCTGTATATTGTTTCAAGTACAACATGGAAACAACTTTACACACAATAATTCAGCACAGAGCAGGAATATAAATCAAGCAGTTCTAAATATCACATGCAATTAGAAGGCAAGAGAATTGTTTTTGCCTATCTATCTCAGTTAATTTACTCCCAAAAGTCATAACAGTGCATATGTTCTGCATACATTATTTTAACATTGAATTATTTAATCACAGAGTAGTTCTGGTTATTGTAAAAGTCACACAGGGACGTAACAATTAAGCCACATTTCCACATTTTTATTTTTGTATCCTAATGTTTAGCAGATTCTAGGAAATCACTCATATTTTATTATGTATACATTTTCTTGGCAAACTCTTTCGGAAGCTGCAATAGCCCAAACTACGAGAACACATATGGTAAATTAACTTAAGCTAAAAAAAACTCATATTTTTCTCATAAAATCTCATCAAAATACCTTGCACTGAAAGTCAAGCTCAATTCTAATGTATTGGACAATAGTGATCCTACAGCAGGCACTCATATTTTTAAGTTTAAATTTCAACTTGGATCATCCACTAGCATAAAACTGAGCTCAAAATCCAGATCTCCAACTTTTCTTAAAGCAGATATTTAGAAATGGACTTCTCCTAGCCAGAGTCATGGCAATCTCTGTAGCACTGCTCAACTCCACGCGCTTGGAGACAGATAAAATCGACAGCACAATGAACCCGAGGAAATGACAATGCTAGTCAGAGTATCATGGCACTATATTTGGGTTATTTCCCAAAATGGTTCTATTCAGCATGAGGACCATGGGATGTGAATGAAAGTACCAATCAAACTATATTCCCTATCGTGCTACAATGTCTCTGAGTGGTAACATCTGTTAAACTTTCTGGAGCATGGTCATTTTGGTGTATGAGTTTGAGCTTCATACTTCACTGCAAGTAGTTATTCTGACTGGTTATTCCCAGATTGTCTCCTTTCACATTTCCTGTAGTTTTTATCAAAATGGAAGTGAGCACATTATACCGAGCACTGTAGGTTTGTTTGATGACTGAGATTAATGGTCATGTACCCTCTTCTCCCATCTATTTTCCCCAACCTTTTCAACTGTTACTTTTCCCCTCTGTTCTATGACCAGGTCTAGCTATCTGCAGTCCCTCTAAATCTGTTTATATCATGTCATCTAGACTTCATGTTTGAAAGAATACCATAGGAGATTAGCTAACGGTCCTTCATAAAAAATAAAGTCTGGGGAGTTTAAGCATGCTTAGCACTTACTGTTTCTCTATGCGATGAGGCTCCAACTGAACCCATAAGCTTCATTAGAGAAAAGAAGAAAAAGGGGAGACTGGGTCACTCCAGAGCACAACACAGGCTTCCTATCAGCTAGAAAATGGCACTCCTCATTTTCACACCAGTTTCATTGTCCAGTAACTGTAGCAAGTGCAGAAAATCTACCACCACCAGTAACATTCCAATGCAGAAGCCAGCAAATTGAAATCAAAATGGATCGACTGGCAGGTTCTAGAAATAAGATTTTGAAGAAGGTTGGAAGACGAGGATCAAGCCGATGATTACAAAAAGTCTAGCCTCATTGAAATAGCTGGAATTGCAATAAGTGGGACTACTGTTCAAAATGGGTGGATTGACATGACTTTTAAATGTAAGCTGAGCTCAAAATCTTGCAGAATTTCTTTAGCCCAATCATCAACAGGGTCAACGGGCTGAGGAGTAGCCGATGGAGTTAAATTGCGATAAATGTGATGTGCTGCATTTTGGAAAGGCAAATCAGGGCAGGGTTTATACACTTCATGGTAATGTCCTGGGGAGTGTTGCTGAAGAAAGAGACCTTGGAGCGCAGGTTCATAGATCCTTGAAAGTGAAGTTGCAGGTAGATAGGGTAGTGAAGAAGGAGTTTGGTATACTTTCCTTTATTGGTCAGTGCATTGAGTATAGGAGTTGGGAGGTCATGTTGCAGCTCTACAGGACATTGGTTAGGCCACTTTTGGAATACTGTGTGCAATTCTGGTCTCCCTGCAAGAGGAAGGATGTTGTGAAACTTGAAAAGGTTCTGAAAAGATTTACAAGGATGTTGCCAGGTTTGGAGGGTTTAAGCTCTAGGAAGAGGCTGAATAGGCTGAGGCTATTTTCTCAGGAGCCTCTGAGACTGAGGTTTGTAAAATCATGAGGGGCATAGATAGGGTAAATAGACAAGGTCTTTTCCCCAGGGTGGGGAGTCCAAAACTAGACGGCATAGGTTTAGCGTGATAGGGGAAAGACTTGAAAGGGACATAATGGGCAACATTTTCAAGCAAAGGGTGGTGCGTGTACGGAATGAGCTGCCAGAAAAAGTGGTGGGGGCTGGTACAATTACAACATTTAAAAGGCATCTGGATGGGTATATGAATAGGAAGGGTTTAGAGGGATATGGGCCAAATACTGGCAAATGGGATTAGATTAATTCAGAATGTCTGGTTGCATGGATGAGTTGGATTGAAGAGTCTGTTTTCGTGCTGTATAGCTCTATGAATCTATGACTCTATGTACATCGTTCTGAACAGCAAAGTCAAATTGATGTTGATTTCCTGAGTCATGTCATTCATCTTGGGCCACCATGATTTTAATGTCTAAATTAGAAAGTACTTATGATATCAGACCCAATATTTTGTTCTAATTCTAATCTATAATTATAATCTAATTCCAGATTCCAGCAAAAATGCATTCCTTACTTCTAGTTGAAATAATTACTTAATGTCAGCCAATAGTTACAGGAGTTTCAGCTAATGCTAATACAATTTTTGTAAGATTTAAACAAATTGGCAAATGCACTTAAAAGGAAATCATTCACAACATTCAATTCATGTTCTTAACACTGTCTAGGTAACAAGTCACCAATTTTTTGCTTTACTTTGTGCTTATCAACATGCGTCAGGTAGTTTATAGAGTAATGCAGATTCCATCAAACGTTCTTCCCTAAGCTGCTTATGGCAATCTAATTATTCTGAGTTGAGAGGATACTCACAAGGTAATCACTTAGTTTTCGTTTTGTTTTTTCATGCAATTGGCTCTGGAATCAGAAATGCATTTCCTATTGAAGCATTTTCCTCTGGTCTGACCTCATTACAGCTTTGATCCAAAAATGGGCACAACAGCTGAATTACAGCAGGGAGCTGCAAATGATTTCTCTCACGTTCAAAGCAGCATTTCATTGAGTGTGTCATCAAGAGCCTAAGCCAGTGAGAATTGGGATAAATTCACTGGTGGCTGGAGTCAGACCTGGAATAAAGGGAAACCAATGGTGGAAGTCACATGTTTTGGATGTGCTGCTGAAGAAGCGAGTTGCTGCACTGCACCTTGTACATACTGACAGTTTGCTGGTTGTAGAGGGCATACACATTTACTCACAGAACCAAAGAGGTATATAGTAGAGAAACAGGCCCTTTGGCCCAATTTGTCCATGCCAACCAGGTTTCCTAAACCAAACTAGTCCCATTTGCCTGCATTTGGTCCATATCCCTCTAAACCTTTCTTATTCACGTACCTATCCAAATGTCTTTTAAATGTTGTAACTGTATCTGCCTCTACCACTTCCTCTAGCAGCTCATTCCATATAAGCACCACCCTCTGTGTGAAAAAGTTGCACATCAGGTCCCTTTAAAATCCTTCCCCTCTCACTTTAAACCTATGCCCTCTAGATTTGGACTCCCCTACTCTGGGAAAATACCTTGGCTATTCACCTTATCTCTACCCCTCATGATTTTAAACTGTGGTGAAAGCAGAAAACATGATATTTTGCTATTTGATCTTGAAGACCTATGTGCTTTTTGAAAGGGAGCTTGGAATTTGACTTTTTAGACAGATGTTTAAAAGAGTTCCCTATTCCCTTCTTGCACATTCTTACCTAGTATCCCCCTAAATGTATTCTTCAAATTCACAGTGATAGGAAAGTGACACAAAGTGAATTGCAATTATAAACAGCCAATACTGGCAGATCAAGCTAAATGGCCTTCTTTTGCGATGTAACCATTCTGTGACTCTTACTCCCTGTGTCAGCAAGTTCCACATTTTCTTCACTCCATGGGCCAAGACCATTTCTTCTGAATTACCGAAGAATGCATTCAAGGGGATACTAGGTTGGCATGTGTAAGAAAGGAATTGGGAGCTGTTTTAAAAATCTGTCCAAGCCTCTATATTAAAGCATTCTTATCTATGAAATTATTTTTTATCTTCCAGAACTTATATTTGGAAGGCCTTTCACTCTTGCAATAGCCTGAGCTTAACGTTGTCAGCTAAAGCAAGTGACAACCTCTGTTTTCCTTTAGTTTCTAGAATGTCATTGGATGGAGAATTTCTAAGGATACCCAAAGCATCATTTTCTCAGTGGGAGTGTATATTCCCTAAAAGTATAAATGAATTATAAAGTGTTGCGTAGGTGATGCTTCAGACAGAAACCAAAGATAACTGCCTTCTGTTTTACTTTGGAGGTAAAACCTAGCTTGGAAAAACAACAAAATAGGGATGATTAAACAATTAGTTTTTTGTTTCTTTAAATAACTGGCCAATGGCTTGGTCAGAGGTAGGTTTTAGAGGGTGTCTTAAATAAAAAAACGGGTTGTAGAGATTTGGAAGAGACTGCCACCTTGGCATGATGAAGACATAGACACTAATAGCAGAACAATTAAAATCAGGGATGCTCAAGAGATAAGAGTTATATGAACACAGTTATCTCAGAAACTGTAGGACTAGAGATGACAGACTAAGAGGGGGCAAGGTCATTGAAAGAACAGGAATTAAGGATGAAGATTTTGAAATCAACATTGTTTCATTGGGAACCAACGTAGTTCAGCAGGCACAAGTGATGAATGAAACATACATATTGAGAGCCCAGATGACAAAATGTAGGCCACCTGCTGGGAATGTGTTTTACTTTGAGTTATAAAGAAAGGCTGGATAGGCTGAGACTTTTTTCACTGGAGCATAAGAGGCTGAGAGGTGACAGGTATATAAAATTAACGACAGGTATAGATAGGGTTAATGGTAGGTGTCTTTTCCCTAGGATGGGGCAATTCAAGACTAGGAGCATTTTTTAAGGTGAGAGGAGAGAGATTTAAAAAAGAGATGAGGGGCAAATTTTTTACACAAGGGGTAGTTGCAGATGGAATGAACTTCCTGAGGAAGTAGTGGATGCGGGCACAGTTATAACTTTTAAAAGACATTTAGATAAGTACACGAATAGAAAAGGTTTGGAGGGATATGGGCCATGAGCAGGCAGGTGGGGCTAGTTTAGTTTGGGATTATGTTCAGCATGGACTGGTTGGACTGTTTCCATGCTGTATGACTCTATAACAGTCAATTCTAGCAGTAAAAAAGGCATGAATGAGATTTTCAGCAACAATGAGCTGAGACAAGGGCAAAGTAAGGGGTTGTTATAGGTGGGAACAGGTTTGCTTAGTGTTGAGACAAATATGTTTGGAAATTCAACTCAGGTCAAATTTGACACCAGGGTTACAAACTGTCTGAGATTAGTTTCAGGCAGCTGCCACAGTGAAGGATGCAATCGGCAGTTAAGGGCTGGTTTAGAGCTGGGACTGAAAGCAATGACATTGGTGTCCCTAACATTTAAATGGAGGTAATTTCTGAACATTCGGTACTGAATATCTGATCAGCAGTTTTAATAATTCAATAGTCATGAATGAGTCAAAATAGATGGTGATGAAGTATAGCTGGATATTGTCAGTCTACTAGTAAAAACTAATGCTGTATCTTTGGATAATGTTACCAAAGGCTATGTGGTAATGAGATATAGGAGCAGCAAGAGAAGACATTGCAAAAGATACTCTAGCTATGTGCAAACACAAGTGCAAAATAAACTGTAGTTAACAACTCATGTTTAGTGTCATGAATGGATTAAAAATCCACCTTTTTGATATATTTAGTGACTTTTAAAAACACACAGAACAGCCTAACAAAGATGGCTACCAGAATCATGTGACTGGACTTAGTAGCAATCTTTTAAAAACTTCTCAGAAGTCAAAGTCAGCCAATCAACATCTCATGTATCTAGTGATGGGGACTAAATTCTAACTATTGTGTTATAAATTGCCACAGAGTTGAGCATCTATAAAAGAATCACAAGTTATCCCTATCCTGTAAGATGATGTTAATAGCTCTACTCAACTTGAGGTGCACTATAGATAGGTGTTTACCTGAAACGCAAGCTTTTGTCTTAATGGTAACTGTCTCCTCACTTCACTGCACATCCACCACCTGAAAAGGCTTGGTCACATGACTGGCAGCACTGAATCCAACTGCCTAGTAACCACACAATTTTGAAATAACTTTCAGTTAGCTCCTTCATAAAGCATTCACTGATGATAGCAAAACCCCTAACTCCAGGCTACAAAGGAAAAGCCTCTGGCCCCTAAAAAGCAGCAAGAAAAAGTTCATTTTATGCTCTCTATAATCAACGTTCTTTGGTCAAAACAGCAAATCAGTAATTACATTTCAGAAATATTTCTCGGACGACCTTCAAAGGAATTTTAAAGAGAAGAACTTCTCCACAATTCTTGAACTGCCCAACTTAATCCTTGAAGGGACTGCAGACTGCTGTTTGGACTTCTGAAGTTCATCTTAAAAGCAAAGACACTGATAAACAGGTGTCTCTCAGATGTCGCGCAAGTAAGCTGTCGCTAACTGAATAATCTAATTTTTCTATTTTAATTTGATATGTTCATAAATGTTTGCATGTGTGCCTGTGTTGCAAAGTATTCATCACCGGCACCCCCAACATGTGAAATAGAATCTCTTATTTCTCTTATAACTTTACAATAGTATGGTGAGGTCTTTACAAAATCAGCATTCAGAGAAGCATTGGAAAATATAACAACACTGTTTAAAAAAGGGAAAAAAATTAAATTGGAACTTTGTTATGGACAGGTGGTGAGAAAAGGGAGAGATATTAGTTTTAAAACTCTACAGCTGTCCACAACAGTATTCAAAAGCCTCCAACTATATACATTATATATAAAATATAAAGATTCAATTGTGTTTTTTTCGTAGTGTTGAGGGAGGTGAGTGGAAACAGAACAGGGAGAGCTCTTGTTCTTCTTTAAATGCACCAAGAGGATGCAACTGACTGAACCTCAGGTTATCATCCAAAATTACCTCTAACGATCCAACGATAAGCCTGACTCTAAACCTCTCCGAGTCACCTTCCAATCTGAGGATACAGTCTACTTGCAGACTGGAAGTGTTTAAACACATACTCTGATACAAAATCCCATATTGAACTAAAATAAACAGATTAAAACAAAGAATATTCTGTTCCACCTTGAGTAAAATGGAGTGCCAATCAAGCAGACCATTCAATCTTAACTCCCACCATATTTATAATCGCTTGTTCTGATCAGTGCTCACTGATGATAGCAAAATGCTCAGCTCCAATTGCAGTTCCTTAGTAATGAAGCAGTCCATTCTTGTACACAGCACATCCCACACCAGTAACACCTTGGGGGTTGCCACTGACCTGAAACTCAGTTGAACCAGTCACAATAAAGTTATGGGTATTACAGCAGGTCAGAGGCTGGGTATTCCATGTTGTGTGGACCACCTCCTGACTTCTCCTCACCTACTAATAATAGTAAAAATATAAAGGAATAAACTTCACTTGACTGGAAGGGTTCAGCTGCAACAGCACTCAAGAAGCTCGACACCATGAGAAGTAGCAGTCTGCTTGCTTGGCAGCTTATTTATTCATTTAAATATCCAGCCACTCTATGCTGCATTATAGACTTAAATTACACAGCAGGCAAGGCTTATTCCAAAATCAATTAAACATTTCAAAATGTTAACTCTGTTTCACTCTATGCTGATACTGCCTGGTCCACTGAGCATTCTGAAGAAGGGTCTAGGCCCGAAACGTCAGCTTTCCTGCTCCTCTGATGCTGCTTGGCCTGCTGTGTTCATCCAGCTCTACACCTTGTTATCTCCTTTATTCTCTGTTTGTTTTTCATACTTTCAACATCCATACTATTTTGTCTTTTGCACAGTGGCTGCAGTGTGGACTATTAGCACAGTCACTGCAGCAACTCACTTATGCTTTTCAGAAGCACCTGCCAAATCTATAACTTCCACCACCATGAAGATTGAGGGCAGCAAATAATTGGGAAATAACATTACCTCA